CAAACTTCGCTCCCGAGAGAGTTTACTGAAGAGTTCATCCTTTGTGTTACTGTTTTTCTTTCCCCCTGTCCTCTGCCAATTCCTGCCACCTTCTGGGCCACCAGGAAGCGACACTAAATCATTGGGCTTCCTTACTGTTCCAAGTTCAGTTGAAGTCAATAGCTACCCCTCCACTTAATTATTAAGAGAGATATCTCGCTGAGCCGGTTAGACAGTTGAAGATATCCACCTACAGGAAAACCTGGCTGACGGGAACGAATGGCGAGACCCAACGACCAAAGTAGTGCAAAGGTAGTGGGCTGGTGGCGGTCCAGGCACTAAACTGGCAGATTTCTGGCAGAAGAGGTAATGTAGAAGCTGGAATACTAGAACAAGCGGCGGGCTACTTCCTGAAGAATCTAATGAATGTGTCGCTTCCTGGTGGCCCAGAAGGTGGCAGGAATTGGCAGAGGACAGGGGGAAAGAAAAACAGTAACACAAAGGATGAACTCTTCAGTAAACTCTCTCGGGAGCGAAGTTTGAGTGAAGAGGGAGTGGAATGCAATACCTGCTGAGAGGAGATGATGTTGTGTCATTTGAGAGAACCTGGTTGGAGTCCGCAATGAAGAGATATATCATCCTCATCTTTTGCTAAATTATGAGCTTCCAGTGCTTTCTTGTAATCTGGGGTCCTCAGAGAGTTTAATGTTGGTTTTTGATACCTAAGGCATAAATTTCAAATCATGGGACTATGAATGGAACGATAATTCATATTATGCAGAAGTCAATATCACTCACAGTCGGAGAAGAAGAGAGGAGCAGACAACAGAGACAGAACTTAAAGCCATTGCTGCTGATCCCATGCAAGGCTATTGAGAGGAAATCTTAGTACAGTATGGTGACAGAGAAACTTTAAACAAATAATTCAGAAGCTGTTGTCAGACCTGGAGAACGATTCCAAGGGGACGGAAAGCTCCAGCTGCCAAGGGGATTCCAATTATGTTGTAGATTGAAGCAAACCAGAAATTAAGTTTAATTCGCCTCACAGTCCGCTTGGAGAGATCCAGGCAGGCAATAACATCCAGCAGATCATTCTGTCCACATTTCACAACAGAAAATATGTTATCAGTACAACACAGACACAAATAGCCCGAGACCAAATGCATAACACTGACAATATTTTTAAATGGGGTGGGGAGGGGTGAGACAAATTGATCCAAAATGGAAATAAAAAGCAATGCTAAAGGGTGCAATATTGCAAGAAAAAAATTTCCATAGGAAACTTCCAGAGTTGCATTAGTTATTTATGTCCTATGTTACTTGCAATTGACAAGTGAGAAGTAGAGTTTGTAAATGGTACATAGACCTTTGAAGAACCATTTACATGTGAAACACCCACAACCACAAAATATCACAATTGCAGGCTAAGCTTGCCACAAATTCCTGCATGAAATATGCAGAGAAGATATTTCTGTTTTAGTTTTTCAAATCACTCAGCATACATAGGAGTTTGATAATTGAAGAGGTTTGAACCTTTCAGAGGGAAGAGAACTTTCAAGTGAGACACACACCCGAATGAGGACGATGTCAGCTGCCTCAACAGCAACATCAGTGCCAGAAGCGATGGCAATACCAACATTAGCTTGAGCCAAGGCTGGAGAATCATTGACACCATCTCCAACCATGGCCACTCGATATCCTTGCTCTTGCAGGGTTTCAATCTTCTTTTGTTTATGCCATGGCAGCACTTCTGCAAATACCCTTGTAATTCCAACCTATGGCAGAAAATTTTTCCTCACAGTTCACACTCTAAGCTTGCAGCAAAACAGCTAACAGCAAAAATTAGCTTCACTTGGGATATACCTCTCTTGCAATTGCAGCTGCCGTTTTTCTATTGTCACCAGTAAGTAGCATAACTTCCAAACCCATCCTCTTCAACGTGTAAACTGCAAGATGGGCTTCAGGCTTCACTGGATCAGACACAGCTANCTTCACTGGATCAGACACAGCTAACAAGGCTATAAGTTTTCCTGTGTCAACAATACAAGAAATATGATTCAGTTGTGGCATTCAGCAATTTCAGGGGATCCTTGTAAAAGAAGAGGAAAGCAAAAAAAACAAGTGTGGCTATGTTAGACCATCTTCAAGCATATGGAGCCCATACCATTCATGGCACAGAGGACTACAGTATGTCCCTTCTCCTCTTGATCAGCCATTAAAGACTCCACCTCAGGATATAAGTGGACACAGTTCTTCAGCATCCAATCACGATTCCCTATCAGCACCTAGATGGTACAAATTTGAAGAAGGAATAAGTCTCAAACTTTATTTCCTTTGCGTATTAGTATTTCAACAAAAATCACCTGGTATGTTTTTGATGCCTTAGCTCCATCCATGTAAGTAATGGAATCATGGGAACCCATATCAACTAGGATAGATTTCTCTTTCTCAGATTCACCAATAACTTGGCGAGTGACATATGTTGTATGCCCGCCAACAATTATCTTCTCGCCAAGTAAAGATCTGCAGTGATGAAAACCACATAAAGCAAAGTGAAAGATTACAGCAAAGCAACAGATAAACTCAGATTGGACAAGGATAAAAAAACAGATTAGAGTAAAGTAACAGATAAACTCAGATTGAGCAAGGATAAAAACAATCAGGTTAATGCTCACTGAAAGTTTCATGTCCCTGATCACCTCTTCAAACTAATCTGAAAATCATGATACTGAACTAATTCAGCTATTGCTTTTTTAGCTACTGCTGAAAAAGGAATGCATCAATGGTGTGTGTGTGAAAGGTAAGTTTTGAGGACTAAAGAGGGAAGAGAATAGTTAGACCTTCCAATAAATGCATACATTGTGTTCTGTGTGGTCTCTTTTCTCTCCAGCTCTAATTTTGAAAGCATGATGTTTTTCTTTGTTAGGTATAGCATGACAAAACTAAACAGTTAGGAGCACAGTAATACTAACAAGGTTCATGGTGACAAATGAGGCAACTGTAGAACACTGCTGAAGCAGCTACAGCATGGTATGAGGAAAACCTGAATTTTCTCGCAGGTGTCAGAGTTTATTTTAATCAGAATTTATTTTCACTTTCATCAGTTTGGAAAGCCATAATTTTTGTTTTTGCCATATATTTGTCAGAGCAAAAACAATCACAATAATTTTATTTTAGTCAAGGCTTCATAAATTTTAGTCGTTTTCCTAACAAAAACGTTTCACACTGGATGAGTAAATAAAGTCCACAAAAACTGAATGGAGGATGAATGACACCCTTCATGTGCAAGCATGGATGGGAAATGCTAAAAGTGAGACTGGAGAAAGAATGCTGAGAGATACATGAAAACATTTTTCTCATGTAAATATTGCATTACTTTAACTCTTCCACTGCAGCTGTCCCATTTTCAGTCTCATGTAAGTGATATCAGGGGTTTTAAACTCTGCAGTGAAAGAGCTAACATTTTTCACTTTTGACTACAATGGAATGCTGAATGTCTGCACAAGTTTTGGCAAGATGGGACAAAAACATGACAAACTGTCATTTTCATCCAGGACATCCTTTTTTCTTTTTCTCATCCACTTTTCATCTTGAAAAATGAATACCTTTCGTTTTATGAACTTGACGCACAAGCAGTTTTTACAAACTCTAATCATCTGACATGATCAGACTTATGCAAGGTCCTTACTCTGAGCCCTCTATTGCAGGCCTCAACTAAAGGAACACTATGCTTCAGAATACACCAATTGCACATGCTCATTGTTACATGAGAAGACTTGCAACAGAGAAAAGATTTAAACTTATGGCTCTGTAGTCTAAGAATGCTAAACAAATTGGATACCCATTTGGTCGATTAAGGTGGTTTTGGATAGGCTCAGATGAGAGTGCACGTTCAATCATTCCATCAATGTTTGACACTAGGCACTTGAGTCCATAGCCAGGTGCAGCTTCAAAGTCTTCACTATGACCACTGAAGTCACCAATTAAATTCTTGGTAAAAGTCACCATAGCTGAAAATCAATGGAAGTTTTTCATGAGAATCAATACATTGGAGCCTAAAGGGTATTAAATAAAGGGGTCTGATTTTCAATAAAAAAGTCATGGCTCCTACTGGGGCTATTTTCACAAAGCATGCACTAAGCAAAGGCTGATGAATTGCAAAGAAAAGACAACAAGCAATTTAGTTAAACAAAGAAAATGGGCAGGAGACCACACTGTTAGTTGAGAGGAAGAAATGCCCCAAAGCTAAGGTTACATGTCACAGAGAATAGACCAAGCATCTCATGAATTCAAATTTGTTAAACTGTTAATTTTGCCTGGTCTATTTTTGCAGGTGACATTGAGGATCATTTCTTCTTGTTAATAACTTATGAATCAGAGGTTTTTCTAACTTTTCACATTTTACATTGGAAAAAGAAGCTCCAAGAGGTAGGAATCCTCTATCCATATTTTCCTATATTGTCATTGATTTCTCATAGCCTTGATTTGTCAAAGCAAATTTGGATTGAATTTTTAAAATCTACCAGGCAAACTTAGGTCTAACCATGGGCAAAGATACATAAAAACTGAAACTTCAACATTAAGAGCAGAGATACGTGTTCTCTCAACATATTCTCTTGATTCTTTGGCATTTTCCAATACATACATTTTCCTTTTATGTAGTTTATACAACATGGAATGTGGTTAGTTCAAAAGCAGTAGTTTACCAATTGTCTTTCATATGTAAAATTTATTGGGAATTGATTTTCCACTCAAAGAAAAAGTACTTAAAAGTATATAAATATCCAAAATTTCAGAAACCTGGACACAGATTGCAAAAGGATGAATGGTAAAAGTTGAGGGTTCTTTTCTTTGTTTGCACCAAGTAGACCAGGTCATGCACTCACCGGAGGCAATAGGATGTTCACTGTTTGATTCAGCAATCCCCACAAGCGCTATAAGTTCAACCAGTGAACAGACAGACTCTGACACAAACAGTGTGATCCTTTGAAGCATGGGAGTTCCAGCTGTTATAGTTCCAGTCTTGTCAAATATCACAGCCTTGACCTGGTCCAAGAACAAAATCCACTTTTTTCCAAATCTGCTGACTTCTCAACTATAGACTGAAACACTAAAAAGTTAGACCTCTTGTGCCCACTGACCTTATGAGCATTTTCCAAAGGTTGGGCACCCTTGATTAGGATCCCATTCTGAGCACCTACACCAGTGCCAACCATGACAGCAGTGGGTGTGGCCAGGCCAAGGGCACAAGGACAGGCAACAGATAGCACAGTGATGGCCGTCAGAAAACCAAACTGAAAGATCACTTCATGGTGACTGTAACCAGTCTCCTGCAGAAAACATGAATACTGCTATTACATTTTCTCATCTACAAATGGTTTACTCTGAAGAAGAGAATTTGATCACATACATTAAATGTATGTGATCAAATTCTCTTCTTCAGAGTAAACCATTTGTAGATGAGAAAATGTAATAGCAGTATTCATGTTTTCTGCAGGAGACTGGTTACAGTCACCATGAAGTGATCTTTCAGTTTGGTTTCTTGACGGCCATCACTGTGCTGTGTATTGCTTGTCCCTGTGCCCTTGGCCTGGCCACACCCACTGCTGTCATGGTTGGCACTGGTGTAGGTGCTCAGAATGGGATCCTAATCAAGGGTGCTCAACCTTTGGAAAATGCTCATAAGGTCAGTGGGCACAAGAGGTCTTGCTTTTTAGTGTTTTAGTCTACCTATAGTTGTGATTATAACAGGTATGGAAAAATTTTTTTTTTTTTTAAACAGATCAGGGCTGTGATCTTTGACAAGACTGGAACCATTACAGTTGGGACCCCCACGCTTCAGAGGATTACACTGTTTGTGTCGGAGTCTGTCTGTTCACTGTTTGAACTTATAGTATCTGTGGGGATTGCTGAATCAAACAGTGAACATCCTATAGCCTCTGGTGAGACAATGATATCTCAACATAATTTTTCTAATTCAATGCAAATTTTCCAAAGTAATAGAATCTCATGAGCAATTATTTTAAAATTTTGGGCAATTGAATATGGATGGGGGGACTCCAATTCCCTCAGCCAGTTTCCAATATAAATGAGAAATTCTCGAGGAATTTCCAGTACTTCTTCAGTTCATGAAATTAATCTAAATACTCTGTTACAATAGGTTTTTTCAGGTAATGAAATTTAACATAAGAATTACTTGATGTGGCCTTAATCCTATGCAGTACAAGTATACCCCAAGAATATCCCCTCTTGGACAGGTAAGAAGTCTGAGAGACAACTACTAGGGGCATCCTAGGGAGATAAAATTGCCCGTGTGAATTATTTTTATATGAAATTGCTTAAGACTCACCATGTGGCAAATGGGGATTTCTGAAACATCCTTGATGTTCCCGATCGGGAAGAACACCAACACCTTTTTAATGTGTACCAACTGGCAGCATATTCAAAACACCAGTCAGTATCATAGCTGAGTCAAGACCTTTTGCCTTATTTCACCACAATCTTTTGTATTTTTGCATCTTTTTTATTTTTATTTTATCTCATGTCTAAAAAAACTTTGCTGTGCATTAGTTCTCATATATCCATCTGACATCTTTGTCTAAGGTTTTACAATTTATACCTGTTGCAGTTTTTCTTTTTGACTAATTTCTTCCATTTTGACAAACACTCAAAATTGCACTAAAGTTACCAAATTTGGGTAATTTGATGCAAAATATCTTACTTTGGTACCTTTAAGGAAATGTACGTGAAATTTGAATTTTTTTCTTCAAGGCTTTCATATATCATGCAGGAAAGGGTTAAATACATTCTATTTGTAGTCAACTTTATATGTCAATGCAGGGAGGATTTCTTCTGATTTAATTTTGCGAAATCCAAAATTTTTTTAAATGATAATTTCGCTAATTGTGAATTTCACCAACTAGACCACCCCCTATGTTTTGGCCATTAGCCCATACGGGAAAAAAATTACAGGCGACTCAATTTCGCGATTGACTTTGCCATGTAAAATTTGCAAAATTGAAGCAGGTGGTAATATTTTGCGCTGAACTGTTTTTTTTTTTTAAGTTGCATAGCTTCTTTGCCCCCCTTGCAGTTTTATCAAGTGACATCCCTGACATTCTCAAGATATCTAAAAGCATTCAACTGAAGATGTCGTAACGACATCCCTTACATCTTATCCAGAACCATTCATTTAAGGAAGTCTTAAAGATAACCCTTTCGGGATATCATGAGAATTTGATTGAAGACGTCAAAAAGATGTCTCTGAGATATCTTGAAAACATTCCTTTCAATATGTCAGAAACTGTCCTAACTGAAACCCCAGGATGTCACTCTGCTATGCAGGTTGATATGCAGCTAAATCATTACGGCCTTTTGTCCACTTAACTGCTGACACAATTTTCTTTCTATTCCCTTATTCAACTACTTTGGAATAATTTCTGATTGTCTTGCCTCTGCACAATATACAGGGTGTCTCAAAAAAAGTTAACGTTGTAATAATAGGTTTTTTGGAACTACATTGAATTAGAATTAATTTTTCTGCTAGTTAGAGAGAGAAGAGATTAAGCTTTCTTCTGCTGATAACTCCATGAAAATCGACCATTTCTGAAGTGAGATATGGTACAGCGAATATTAGACTAAAATTAATTTACAACCATCACAAAAGGACACGTTCAAGGAATTCTCAATGTGAGTTCAAGTTATGCAAGATGAGATTGAGAGATGGATCACCAAGAATATTCTTTCATTTGATGAATTCTGTGGCATTTTTGCTGAGAAATCCCCAAGAACCATCAATAGAGTGAAGAGCCTCCTGGCAGTACACTTCTGTATCACTAGCTTCTTTGAACGCTTGCATAGCTGGATTCTCTTAAATAGGCTGCTGGCAGCGTTTCCCCAGCATGTCTGAATTTTGCTAATGTAAAGTTTGCCTTTCCATATCTCGCCTCTGAGTTTATTGGTCTTTGTGCAATCTTCAGGAATCAAAAGCACAATCCTTTCTCATTTTAACTGCTGCAAAGTTTTTCATTCGAATTTAATATGGTACAAGAAAAATCAGCTCTTGCAGCATTAACTTTTATTTTTTGAGACACCCTGTAGTTGAATGTAATTTAGTAGTTTGTCAGGAGCATATTATTGTATGTGCAGTGCAGCATATGTACAGTGTGGAAGTAGCTTCTGTAACAGCTCATACTTTTTTTAATTTGAAACTGGGGGGGGGGGGCATTTCATGTCATACTGTGTGTAGAACTCATTTGTATGAGTCTTAATCATTTAACAATTCAAATTTGTCCTTAATATGCAGCCATGGTGACATTTACAAAGAATGTTATTGGTGACTTCAGTGGTCAGAGTGAAGACTTTGAAGCTGCACCTGGTTATGGATTAAAGTGCCAAGTCTCAAGCATTGATGGAATGATAGAACGTGCAATGGCATCCAAGCCTATGCAAAACTTTCTCAACAGACCAAACAGGTATACATTTTTGGTTATCTTTTTTTCAGTACTCTTAGGTCATACAGCCCTTAACATTAGTCTTATTTTAGGTTGCTAATCTCCATTTGAAAGAATGGAGCATTTGGTTGGTGAAGTTCTATTACACCAAGTTCCTTCAGCTGAAGCTTGCAATGAAGGACTCAAACTGCCTTGTCTTGAGCTGATCCTGATTCCTGGAGTCATTGGAGTTTGCATTATCTGGAAGTGTGTTTTAAACTTGAATGCACTATTTCTTTCTTTTCCCCTGGTTGAGAGCAGATATAATTTCAGCATTGTTTGACTTCATGGGAAGAAGGATCTAGAGATTCCTGTAGTGCAGCAGTCAATTGGAGTAATTCTATTCGATTGATCTGATGATGCTAACCAGTGATGCATTTTGGTTGAAGAATCAGGGGGGCTGGGCAGCAGAGAGGGGATGCCAAATCCCACCCGAGTGATATCAGGGGAGAAAATTATTAGGTACAGGGAAGAACAAGGCACTGTCCCAGGGACACCAGGAGGGGTGGCCACCCCTTCTGCCCCCCTGTAAAATATGGCACTGATGCTAACCCATTTTCTCTTCAGGAGCCATTAAGCATACAGTCATTAAATATTAAAGCTGGGTTGGAATGGGTATGACCTTTGTCTACTCTCTGATACTGATCCAAATATGCTTTTGGTTGAGAGGAGAAACCAGGAACTATAGTGGGAGGACAGCAAGGATTTATGCCTGATTTTTGCCTTCTCTGTAACATTGAGTAAACAAATTTAGTTTTTGAATAAGGACTATGAATGGGTTAGTCACATATTCACTCACAAAGACTGATTTAAGTATGGCTTTGAATGAGAACACAAACCTTGAATCTTAATGGGAGAATGATGAGTATTTATGGGTGTTCCCCATTTTGGCAGTTTTTCTGCTCATCTACAATTCTTAAACCAGCAGCAAGATTTGCCCTCATGCATCATATTGTATTCACTGTAGATGACTCTGTGATCTTCATGGCTATCAAATTCACTAGTTGGCTTCACAATCTTGCTTTTATTTGCTCCATATTCAGTTCATTTTGACTAATACTATATAATATATGCATTAGCAGTGGTAGGGAACTACATCTATTTTAGGCAAGTTTGACTCAAAAAAGAATTTTGTCTAGTTCCAGCAAGAAGCTGTTACCATTTCATGGTTCATTGGAAATCATGATCACAAATTTTACAAAGATCCTTTATCCTGTCTTCTTAGTGTGGTTAACCCACTCCATGTTCTCACCCCAAAATTTTTGCTTATAGCTATATATTTATGCATACATTGACCAGATGGAGTAGATAATCAAGTCTCCTCTTCCTCTGGTACAGAACTTGAATGGATTGCAGAACATTAGAAACAAAAAAGGCATACAACATTGATCCATTGTTCAGTTGGACCAAGAGTCAACAAAATAAGTCTTGGTTCTGGCAGTTCTTTAGATCCACAAATATTACAATGTGAGGTTGAAGCTGTTCCTTCAGGTGCTAGAAGAGATGACCAGGGAGATAAGACTTCTTTTTCAGGGGCATAAACATAGGCGGCGATTCATAGGGGCTCAGGGGGCTTGAGCCCCCCCAAAAATTTGGCCGAAGAATAAGGAATACTTGGAGTACTGCCTCTGAGCATATTTTGTCTCTGAGCCCCCCCCAAATTTCTCAACAAATCGCCGCCTATGGGCATAAACCAAGTTTTTTTCCTACTAAATGTAAGCCTTAGGTATTATTTTGTTCCTTATGATTTTTCACATCACCACAGATCCTTACATGGAGAGAAAATAGTCGTTGGTGGGCATACAACATATGTCACTCACCAAAGTATCAGAGAATATGAAGAAGAGAATTCTATCCTATTTGATGGGAGTTATCAAAATTCTATTGCTTACCTGGATGGAGGCAAGGCCTCAAAAACGTATGAAGTGAGTAATGTTTGAGTATTTGCATCCATTTCAAAGAAACTTTCATATTCATCACCTCCTTAAATTTGCATAATCTAGGTGCTCATAGGGAATCGTGGATGGATGTTGAAGAACCATGTCAACTTATATCCTGAGGTGGAGTCTGTGATGGCTGATCAAGAAGAAAAGGGACAAACTGTAGTCCTCTGTGCCATGAATGGTATGGAATCTATGTGCATGAAGATGATCAAAACAAGAATAGACAACTAATAGCCCATTGGTTCATTATTCTTTCAGTGGGAAGATGCCTGACACAAGCCTGTTTTAAAATACTGTACTTTGACAATATCTTCAATATGGCTATTGGCTCTTTTGAAAAAACGAAAGGAGAAGAAAATGTTCCTAGGGGACTTTAACGACTTACGGTGTTGACTTAGTATAAAGAACATAACAACTGTGTCCTTTTGAATATCGGAACAATCGACACAGACTAGGTCACTTCCCTGAAGCCCATCTTGCAGTTTACACGTTGAAGAGGATGGGTTTGGAAGTTATGCTACTTACTGGTGACAATAGAAAAACGGCAGCTGCAATTGCAAGAGAGGTATATCCCAAGTGAAGCTAATTTTTGCTGTTAGCTGTTTTGCTGCAAGCTTAGAGTGTGAACTGTGAGGAAAAATTTTCTGCCATAGGTTGGAATTACAAGGGTATTTGCAGAGGTCCTGCCATGGCACAAACAGAAGAAGATTGAAACCCTGCAAGAGCAAGGATATCGAGTGGCCATGGTTGGAGATGGTGTCAATGATTCTCCAGCCTTGGCTCAAGCTAATGTTGGTATTGCCATCGCTTCTGGCACTGATGTTGCAGTTGAGGCAGCTGACATCGTCCTCATTCGGGTGTGTGTCTCACTTGAAATTTCCTTTCAAAAGATTCAACCTTCTTTAAAAGAAGGTTGAAGTAGACTTTAGAAGTAGACCTCTTTAGTAGACTTCATGAATTGAAAAAATTATTTCAAAAATCAAACCAAAGGGATTGGAAGTAATCTTTTCAACTGGATATTCCATATGGGAATTTATGACAAGGGATTATTCTGCAGTTTTGATAAATATTGGTTGTTTTCATTTGAAATGCAATGATATTGAATTTTGGCTGATCACCGATGTACTGATATTCTATCTGAAAAAAAAGCTGATACCAATATCAATATCTGATTCTGATACTTATACCAATAACCGATACTGATACCGATGCCAATACCTGTGTCCACACATTCATGCATTAACCCCTCCACTGTTTTATTTAGGACCAAGTCTGATGGTGAAAGCATAAGGTGCACAATATCCATTGGTGTAAAGAAATGAATGTTTCTGCTGAAGTCAGGCTCTTCAATGTGGGCTTTAAAATATTATATTGGATTTACATTAGACAATTTCTTTACAATGTTCCATTATGGAATTTGCAAGAAGTTGGAACTGGAATTAATTGTTCTTCAAGAGAAGAAATCAGTAAAAAAAAATTATTTTTTCTAAGTTTCCTCATTCTTATCTTTGGAAACCCAGAGGAACATGACTGACAGATTGTCAACCCATCATCAAATGATTTGCCATGCAGATGAAATGTGACCATAATTACTGTTCAGGAAAGTTTTTAAGGCAATTATTTATATTTATTATATTGTAAATATAATTAATTGCTTTTGAGTATGCTGATATTTATGTAATACATTATATTATGAATATAAAATATAAAATTACAATATTATAAACATTGCAAATCAATTAGGGCTGCACCAATGTATCAACAATCACCGGTATGGGCCACCGGTGTTATACCATCAGCCATCGGTAGGGTTGCAAGCTGCTGATGCTGATGTCCGAAGGTGGTGCAAAATGAAAAAAAAAGTGAAGTGAATGTGTGAATGCAGCAGGGCACTGGCTCTTCTGTCTCACTGTATGCCACTCCTGCAGGCCTCTCCCAGACAAAAATAATGATCCAATTATATTTTAGCCCGATTGTTGTAACTTTCAGGGGAAAATAGTGGTAAAAATCTGGAAATCCTTTTATGCTATGCATTAGCAGGAGATGTGTTGTTAGACACAGCAGCAACCGGTAACAAGCTTACCCCTGATGGACAGACAGACTGAACAGGACTAAAAGTGATCTCTATCGTTTTCAGGAGAGATTATATCGCAAGGCTTCCAAATAATCAATCCTATTTGAATTTATATGCAATTTCATGTTTTTTCTTCTCAATCCAAAGACCAAGATCAGATGTGGTATTAGAAGGAAAGTATTGATATTTTCATCCTGAACCCTAGGATTATGTTATTTTTGCATCAAGTCCCTTTTACATATTGTAATTTTCATGAGGGAAATGAAAGTTGTAAATGGTACACGGACTTTTGAATAAAAAAGTCCTCATGGCAGAGAACCTCTCTTAAAATTTGTGTTGCCTTCTCAATGATGTGAAACTGTTTTAGTTGAACATGCTCAAAAGAGAACCATGGATTTGTTTGGCTACCGCTTCTATGAAAGCTGCTTTGTTTCAAACTTGGTTATGCAATGGAATCCAGATGAATTACTGACCAGTATGGTTCACCTTGATTTCAAAACCCTTATTTCCAAATATCATCTTATCAGAATCCTGTATTAAAGCACAAGTGAAGGGGATGGTTCAGATTGAGCTCTTTTATTCCCTGTAAATCAGATGTAATTTGCTTCTGCATATACATGACTGGTTGATTGTGTTACATGTATGGAACTGCATGTGTTTTGTTCATGGATATTGGCATAGTCCTATGTTCAAGGCATTTCATTCCTGTGAAATGGAATCTTAGTGCAACATCTGGGATTAATTACATAATAGGAAAGTCTTTTGCTTTTATTGATGTAAATGTGCTCTTAGTAATGCAGAGATTTATGGACTGGGGTTTTTATAATGTAATTGTCTAAAAAAAAGCCATTCATGAATTGTAAAATTTTGAGGTTGCTTGCAGATATATGGAGTTGCATGATATACATGCAAAACATCAGTTCTGTGAAAATTGCCCAGTTTCTCCCATACCATATCTATCACTTTCTGAGCTTTGATACTTGGAATAGGATGTAGCTCTGATACTAAAGATAGGTAATAAAAAACTGGCCTAAGCAGAGTACAAAAGGAAAAGGGAGAAAGGTGTCTTAGTTTTCAGCCTTTATCATGTTTGCTTCATTATGGCTTATTGAGCTTCAGCTTACTAATCCAATATGGCTCTGGAACTCCTACCTTCCTTTTCCTTCAATCCTTTTCTTGAACAGAATGTGTCATTGATTATCAGCCTTATGCATTTGCTCTCAGGGTGTATTTGTCTACTTTGTACAAATACCATATTATCTGTTTGGGAATTTGGCACAGAATGATCTGCTGGATGTCATTGCCTGCCTGGATCTCTCCAAACGGACTGTGAGACGAATACGACTTAATTTCTGGTTTGCTTCAATCTACAACATCATAGGAATTCCCATGGCAGCTGGAGCCTTCCGTCCCCTTGGAATCGTTCTCCAGGTCTGATAACAGCTTCTGAATTCATTGTTTAAAGTTTCTTTTGCTACAATATCATAACAAGATTTCCCTATTAGCCTTGGATGGGATCAGCTGCAATGGCCTTGAGTTCTGTCTCAGTTGTCTGCTCCTCTCTTCTTCTTCGATGGTGAGTGTCATTGACTTCTGAATAATAGGAATTGCTATACCATTCATAATCTGCACCATTTGGAATAAATGCATTAGGTACCAAAAACCAACATTGAGCACCCTAAGGACACCAGAGTACAAGAAGGCACTGGAAGCTCATAGTTTGGCCAAAGATTTGGATGAAATTTCTATTCATCGTGGATTGGAACCAGGTTTTATTGAACGTCCCAAGTCACCATCATCTACTTTCAGCAGGTACTGCAATCCATTCTCTCTCAACTTTTACTTCTCTCCTGAGAGGGAGTTTTTCAAAGAATTCACACTCATTTAATGTTGATATTTTTCTCACCCCCTCCCCTCTACACATTCCTTATGAGAAGGAACTGTAGGCAGGCTTGTAATGATCCATTGCCTCTGCAGGTATAGAAGATCGTGCTGTAACTTTTCTTCCCAGAATTGGCACCAATTTTACCCTTGTCCATTTTCCCCATCCCACAACCCAGTCCTGTTTCTACTACTGGTTCTGTGAGTCAGGATTCAATACTTTTGTGGACCTATCTGTGGAGAGGTCCTGTGAAGCAGTTGAATTTCCTTGCATTGTAGAGAAATTTCACTTTTGTGTAAGTAGTCTTTTCTGAATCAAGAGTTGACTAATTAGGGATCTCCAAAACATTCTTCATAATTTGAGATTATCCTGAAGTAAGTGTACAAAGGATGGTCATCTGCATGTTGCTGCATGGCTTTTTATTCAGTAGAATTTTGCATGTCCATTTAAGTGACTCCCTTTTTTATTTAAGCAAAGTTTTCGCTTTGGTAGGCACCTCATGTCAGTAATTTTGTGCTTGATGGTCTGTGTAGAATGACAGAAGGGAATTGCAGACTACCAATGAGGCTTTTGTTTGAGCAGTGCAGCATGGCATACACTCTCAAGTTGATGCTCTTGCATGTAAGCTAAGAGGGGAGTAACTTTCTTGAACATGTTGTTCAGTAAGTTCAGTCAAGTGAGAGCATAAAGGTAAGTTTACCTTCATGTTCTTACATAGTAGTGCTTCTAATTTAGGATCACATCCAACTGAAGCAATCTTTCCTTGATTTGAACTCTGATTACCAATGCTCATGTTATTGAGGTGATGAAAAAAAATTGAGTCACTGTGGTCTTGCAGTTAATAGTGAGTAAGCCTTCTAATTCTGAAGATGTTTAAAAGGATGAGAAAAGAGCTAATTAATCACTGGCAGAGGGTTGAGCCAAACCAATTAGGATGCATACAGGCATATATCTCTTTGAGCCCCTTATTTTCCAATTTCTAGATGATGTCATAAGAGGCCAAAATCTATTACTTGCATTGTTCAGTGTTTGAAAGGTCTAGCCCTGATAGTTACTGTGACTGTGACTTGAATGAGTACTATTGGCAAGACTTTCAGGAGCAGTTATGGATCTTCAATTCTATCTGGTATAGATGTATTGCTTTGGACTTAGAAGAAAATGAAACTAAAAATTGGAAGCAGTATTAGCATTGCAAGGACTCTAAATATTTTTTACCTTAAGTCCTGCACTCTTACTTTGCCAACGGTACATATATATCCATTTTCACTTGATTCTCAAAGAGTTAACCATGAAAGAAGAGTAAAATATATTCTGTAAGTGGCTACATGAGTCAATTTTCAAAAAAAAGTAATAGACAGAAAGCATCCTCTATGGCTGGAAAGAGGGAAGTACATAATATAGCCATATATACCTCTGTACTATAAAAGGGCAAAAAGCTTCTCTAAAACTCTGCTGGAGGTTTTATACTAAACTCTTTTTCTTGAAGGCATGGCATTCAACAGGAGACTACCACAATGAGATGAATAATTGAACCATTTTGGGAAGGAATTTAATAGTGGAACCTGCTGGGTTATTTATGTATTTAGAGTAGGGTGAAAGATCCAGTGATGGAATGGTCCCCAGTGATGGGCCACAGCAGATAAAAATTCTAATAGCTAAGCTTCCAAAGCACACCTACCCCTGTTGTAACATAGGCTAGCAGCATTCAAGCACATACATGCTTCAGAGGTGGTCATGTAACAAATACCTAGTTTTTGGAATTTTCCTGTGACATGGCCCATCACTGGGTCTTTTACCCATTATTCGCTTAAAAGAGACATCAACTTTGAACTCCCTAATTTATTCTTGATATTTGATTGCCAAAGTTATGTGAGTGAGCCCAAGTGTGATCAGCACCGCATGGATTACTTTTAGGTGTGACCTCTAATATAATCATTGCACTTATGTGCATTTTGTGAGTGGCCTCCTTTGGAGACACTATTGTTATTCACTTTCATTCTTTGTACTTGTTTGCAGCACTTTGCTTTGTTAATCCCTTGGTTCCCACTGTACTTGTTATGATGCATATTTTTCCTTGGATTTGGCATTATAACTCAGTGTGAAACTTATGAAGTTCCTACTTGTTGATTCCCAAGAGATAAAATGTGAATATGTTGAATCAGATGCAATGGACAGTTCACACCTTCTGATGAATTTTTATGCCTTTCCCACATTTCCCAACTTGTATCTTATCTGAGGCAGTGTGAAACAAAGGGTTAATTGCATGCCTTTGGATTCCTTCTGGAATATTATTCTTAATATTCCATCATCACCTGCATAAAAAGAAAGAATGCATTCTTCTGACCTTTCCATTCCAAGATATGGCTCAGCCAAACCAAATAGCCTTTAATGTATTAGTTGCTTTCTGTAATGGCTGTAAAGAATGCACTCTTTTTCCATCTCATTTATCGCTTGGAATAAGGTGTGAGAATGGCATGGATTGTTGTGATGCAGAGTGACCATCCAAATAGAGGAGAGCTCAGACTCTGGTGTGGACAAAGAGTTTTCTGATACTCAGCCTCTCATCCGTCCCACACGCACTTTTTGGACACATTCCACTTGACAGGTACCTCTGCACTCTCTCAGAATGCTGGAAACCCTTTTCCAGAGGTAATGCCCTATCTTTTAAGTTGGGATCCTTTTTGCTTGCTATTCTCTTCACTGTAGGGCTTTCTGCCAATAGAAATGATTGGTATGAACTCTGTCTCTCTCTCCAGCCTCTGATATTGGTTCTTGGTGGCTTGAAAATGGGAGTGAATGTAGACTTGATGTTGAGGTGTGCTTTTGGGATGGATACAGGATCTTGCAGGTGACAGGGGGCCTGACTGGGCATCCATGGGTCCGGGATAAGTTTTCCACTTTCCCTTTGACACGTGGGAAGCCCAGATTCATTCTGGTGGGCTTTGATTAGTTTCTATCTTGTGTTCACTGCATGGCCCCCTGGATGTTTTAATAGCAGAACTGAAGAGATTCCCCTTGCTCTACTAGTGGAGAAAGATGGAAAATTTAAGTTAGTGCAGAAAATAATTGAGATTTGTAAAATGCCTGATCACATTTCTGAGGAGGCAACAGTGGAACTAGGTAATCTATACATATTAGGATAATTCAAGTTAAAAACAGTTAACATTTTAAAGATCTTATCTCTAAGCATGAATAAATTCATGTATTCCAAATCACTTCTTGTCTTATGCGCAAGAGTTAAAGTAGAGTGGAAGTTTCTGCACAAATGAGAAACAAAGCAAAAATACTTGACATTTTTGATACTGGAATTCTAATAAAGTAGAATCTAGAAGGACTCATGATTGTTCTCATGCATGTGACAAATGATCTGATACATGTTACTTTAAGGTAATAGCAAATGAAGCAATCTCAATTTTTTTTCTGCCCTAGTTTAGATATTGTAATAGGTTCAGGTAGTACCCTGGGATTATGCTGGGCTAACAAATACAATTTCATTAACCCCAATAACATGGTTTGTCATCTTTTACCTTTTAGCATAGATTAATTGATTGTGCTTGCTGCTAATTAAAAACTAAGGCAGTATTTCAACAAGTATGTACTGTCATATCTGCTGAAAGTATTAGGCCAGACATATCAAACCAAATATAAAAGGTTTACAGTGGATAAGTAAACAAAATGCATTAACTAATATAGGCTTCATGGGAATGCAATACAAACAGGAGGGGCTTCCTGGACATTTTTCTTCATAGTGGCTTCCATCAATTTTGCTTGCCCCACATAATAGTTTTTCATAGTGTTGCTGTCAAAAGTCCAGGAAAATTTTGAACAGCCCTGGAAGCAGAGTTGCACATTGGATGGTCCTAACAACAGTGTATCAGTTTTTTGAGGGGAAAGCTTCAGGAGTAGTTGCCCACAATCTCTGAAACTTCTTCAAACTTTTGCCATGCTCATACACTATGGGAAATGTTTATTCTAAGGAAACCACCCTAAGATTAATAGATTTACAAGACACCTCTGTGATTTGAGGCTATCACAGAGAAGGTACAGGCTCAAATCCAACCAACTGCATGCTATTTTTTCTTCTGTACAAACAGTGCCCATGGCTTTTCTTGGGTACTACCTGCTTTCCCTTGGATTCAAGCAATAAGGTCACTCTGTGCTCCATGAGATGGTAGGCAGGATAGGTAGGGTGCAGCAGGAGTGTTTAACCCACTCCACAATTGATCCACCTCAAAAGTACCTGCTACGTTGACCTTGGTGGCCCAATGTTCATTTATGGATGGGCCTAGCTAAGAACATGACCCACACTGAAGTAGTCACCATCTGTAAAAATGAGGTACAGGACTTAGTGTGGGGAGCTATGGCTATCCCATCAGGATGTCCTCTAGATCAAAATTTCCTCTACCATGTTTTCAACTGGTTATTACAAGACACCTACAAACAAATATGTTTGTGTACCTGTCTTTGTGTATTTAACCTGCTCCACATTTTGTAATTTATAAAAAAGGATTTGTAACCAGAATGCAAAATTACAGAAGGGATCCAAATAAATTTATGCATCCCATATATTTGTTTCCATGCAGGTAAGTTTATGGGAGGGATGAAAATTACCTTGTTACAAGTAGACCATTGAGTGGCCCTAGGTGTCTGGGATGGTTGTGTATGGCAGTGTGCCGGCAAGTTTTTTTTCTTTTCTACCCAATGTGCATCTCTGATAGGAGGTTCAAGATGATCTCACAGTAAATATGTGATGCAGATAACGAAGTTGTTCAATTATTTTGTATTTTAAAGTAATTTATAAAAGTCCTTGTATTGGAAATTGTATACCAGAGTCAGCTTAGCCTCTAAAGCATGAGGTATTTCTTCATGAATGAGACATTGTCTTCAGGACTTCAAATTTAGTAGTAACATTTTCTGGTCATGGCATCAGGAATGAATTTGCAAATGTTTGTTTACTTTCTTAGGATCCTTAGTTTGGTAGAGGGACGAGTGACACAGGTGGCACATCAACGGCTTGCCACTGAGGATCCAGATGACATTGACATTGAAGTGGATATTGACGTTTATGAGGATACTTCACATGAACTTGAACCACTTCACTCACCAGAGAAGCATCACAAACCCACCCTCATTTAAGGGATTTATTTGGTGTGATACTTCTTCAAAATGCCTTACAGATGCTGAAACATTTCATAAGTTTCCCTGTCTCTCTGTTACCCATGACATTCAAGAGTCTCTTTTCTCCATCGAATTAGCTTCATATAGCAGGTAAAGTATTGATGCAACTGTGACATGTTGCCAGTAGCTCAGTAGATGGATTTCAGGGTGTATAAGAATGCTGATATGAAGACAAATGATGTGACCAGTGTTGTCTTTTTTGTTGTCAACATTCTGTCTTTATTAGAATTCTCAAAACGTGAAGAAAAAAGTTGTATCTCCCATTAGATTTAAGGAATGCTCTGCAGTCCCATATGTTCCAAATTCTCTTTTGGAAGAAAAGGTTAATCTCTGTCTCCACCACTGGGGATACTTACTGTGCGCTCATTTTTTCGATGCTGTTGCTGTGAATGTGATAGTGCTTATGCATGAAATGGTGTGAACTTTATATTTATATGCAGACAATTAAAGTGCATTTTTAATGAAAATGTATTTTTTGTTAGTTGCCTTCTGTTAGTGAAGTAATTTTCCTTGAAACTTTCAAGTTTTTATGATTATATATATACTGGGTGTGCCAAAAGTAGGTATACAGTTGTTTATTTTATTTATGTTTTTATTTGCAGGTAGTTAATAGACAGTGATGGCTGAGAATTTGATGTTTGATTTGACGCAAGTGGGTACTTCAACAATACTGGAAGACCGAGAATGCGGAATCTGACATTTCCATGCGTTTCTCTCTCTTACACAGTTCATACATACAACTGTATACCTACTTTTGGCACACCCTGTATAGACACTCAGCGGACATTGAAATATGACCTGCTACCTAATATTGCCTCGTTCAAAATCCGTCAAATCGCTGCCTTTTCCCATGCTATTCACATGTAACACTTTGTGCTTGCTGTACCCACTATCACCCATCAACTGGTGACAGTTTCTACTGTTTCCGTTGGCAAGTTAATTCATTCCATGACTAAAGACCCACCAGTTGACTGAAATTGGAAGCGAACGCATGAAAGAACTCCTTTGTTCTGACCGTGGGATCAAGATGCAGGCGATCAGGTGTACCAGGACATATGCGCGAAGAGCAGGGCCGGATTAAGAAGTTGCGAAGTCCTGGGCAAGTGGATTCTTGAGGCTACCCCCCCCCCCCCCCCCCTACTACTTCACGCAAATATTTAACGTTTTTAATTTCCTTCGGTGGAGCCCGGGGCTATAACCCCCTTTGCCCCCCCCCCCCTTAATCCGGCCCTGTCGAAGAGAGTTTCAGAGTTTCTCAGGCGCGGGATGAATATTCAGAGAAAACTTGCCAAAACTGATTGCAGTGGTGACAAGTGGGCAACCAGAAGGATTTTTTTATTAATGAAACGTGAAACGGGGACTCATTAAGATGCGTAGGAAAGTCGCGCTAAGTTTCAAGGTCATAGTATGAGGCGATGCAGAGAAAACCGAACGCCCGAGGAAGAGCGGGAGAGGGTGGCTTCATTGATGCCATACGTTTTTCTCTCAAGCTCCTTCGCTATTGGGCCGTTGTTGAGTGTCTAGCTGCAAAACAATGCCGAGATAAAATCTCTGAAGGCTATTTCATCCAGTTACTGGAGCGTTTGTTCGACGTAGGTTAATGGAATCCATGCATCAGCTTCCTGTATCAGCCTGAGGCATGCAAAAGATCTCAGTTGAGCTGAGGCTACCTACCTGGGACCTTCCCGCCGAGTCTGGGAGCACTCCAACGAGCACTACTTCCCTCCACCTCGTCTCCACCTGAGGCATTCACTTTCCACACGGGATCAGAACACAATTATGATTTCATCCATATCTTGTATGTTTATTTTCCCGCTCTCGTATTTTCATATTCCTCAAAGGCTTCCATAGAGGAAGTCTAAATATCCCTGTTATAAAACACCATAAGTGTATCGGTTATTGGAAATTGAAGTAATCGATTCTGAAAAGAAAGGAACATTATGGAAGCTTGATGATCATAACCTATTTTAATGAATAACTCATCATCAACTTGTCTATCGACTTGCATGCATTTCTTGCATCATGCAATCATGTCGAGTGCTACAAGGCCGATGAGTCTCTGTGAGGAGTGGATATTCTCTCTTCACTAGAAATTCTGCCGTCGAGGAAGCCGGAAAGTGTCTGAAACACTCAAATGCTCTTACACGGTGGACACTCCACCTTTAAGGATTTCTCAAACGCACCTTAACAAGTAGCGTTTGATGACACATCAAACCAAGAATGCCAAAGTCTGCGTCGACATCTGCCAGCTTTTGTTCAGACTGTTCATGACGGCATGCGACCTTGCAACCTGAAACGTGCTCCTCTGACGATGACGATTGCTTTGTATGGCTCCATATCGGTTCGAGGTTCTGCCTCGAAAGGAGTGACGCCGATCGACGAATACTGAGGCGTTGGAAGTCACTGAAAAGCGACTGATAATACCCACTCCCGAAATGATTCGGGGGAAGCTGGTTTTCTTTGCCAACTCTCTTCTACTTTTCATTTTTCAAATAATAAAATTATAAAGGTACAGGATAACTTGGGAGATTCGGACCACTGCGCGATCACGTGGAATATCAAGCGGACGAAGAGTAACGCCAAACTGAGGAAGGTTTCGTACAACTATAAGAATGCTTATTTCGAGAGAATACGCGAATGCGTTTCAGGCATTGACTGGGAGGTACGGCTCCGTGGGCTGACGGTAGAGGAACAGTGGGGGGCGTTCAAGACTTTATGGCAGGGCTTTATGGAGGAATGGATCCCCAAGAAATCCATAAAATCGGGCAGGAAACCGGTCTGGTTTACGGATAAAATGAAAGCTCTCATCAGGGATAAAAAGCGGAAATGGGATGCGTACAAGCACACGGGAGAAAGCACGGGCTATGAGGAATATAGGAGGATCACGCGGACCTTGAAACGGGAAATTAGATCTGCGAGACGAGAGGTCGAGGAACGGCTGGCTAACGATGCTACGAAGAACCCTAAGGCTTTTTATCGGTACGCTAGTGGTAGGTGTCAACATTCGATCGGGCCGCTAATGAACGAAAAGAGGGAGTCGATTGCAAGTAATAAGGATATGGCCAGTATACTTAATGAGTTCTTCGCTTCCGTTTTCACTGTGGAATCCGACTCGGTATCGACTTTGGAGGAAGTGACCTCGGCGCGCATCGAGGATATTTCCATCACTGAGGAGACGATCGTGAATACGATAGGGAAGCTAAAGGTGGGCAAGGCGACCGGCCCCGATGGGATTCCCACGAGAGCCATAAGGGGTTTCACTTTAGAATTGAACATTTCAGTTTGCCTGTTGGACTAACATTCTTGATTCCTTTGTCTGATATCAGCTAACCATGGTCGCATGTGGACGTTGCAACCCTTGCAACCCATTGCAACGACCAGAGTAGGTAGATAACTAAAACCCCGCGGGTATCTTATTCCATTAAATAATGGAGGGAAAAGGGAGAGAATGATAGATCCCAATGCAGATCAAGATACATAGATTCAGAGTTCAAGTTATTCGTGATATTTAAGTTGTCGCTGGAATAATTAAAGGATTTACTATTCACATGCATGATATTAATATATTGACTGGCAAATAGATCATATTTGCACGATATATGCACGATAACGCTTTTCTCTCATCCACGGGACAGGTTCATTATGGATATGACAGAGACAAAATCCCCATTGGACATCCTTGACATGTAACCCATCAGGACCGTGAAGACAGATTGTTTGCTTACTTTACTCATGTGTTCCTTATTAATCATGAGAAGGATGAACCTTTGAGTAATAACAAACTCGTATTTCTTGTAGGAATTGACTATACATTATCCTCTTGTCAAAATGATCAATTTACCATCCATTTACCACGATATCTCAAATAGTTTAGGGCGAGAAAGGTTCGAATTAGGAAGCTACAGAAATTATGTACTGCGCAATTAAACTTTATTTACAACCAACAAATGTAGATACTTCATGAAAAATCAGAAAACTTGCAATTTCCAATTTTCTGAAGTAATGCCTGATAGACAGGAAAACTCGGAATCAGACAAGGCACTATATATGGATCCCTTAACGTTCCAGATCCCCGCTTCTTTTTCTATGAATATATTCAACACTTCTGCCTAAACAAAGGATTCATGAGGTCGATAGAAGCACATCATTTGTCTTCGAGCACGATCGAAGCCATTCCCACAAATTACTTAGAACTGCCTGACTAAAAATGTCCCCATCAGAGATTTAAAAAAGGTAAGTTCTCTTTCTCGAACAGGTAGTGAGCTTCATCGGTACACTGGGCGGACTGCTGGGCCTCTACGCCGGTCTGTCTTTCGTCTCCGTTCTGGAAGTGCTGGAGTGGATGTTGGATTTGCTCTTGTACGGATGGAGGAAGTCAGGGGGAAAACTGAGGAGAAAGAGAATGGCCGTCATCACTTCTTACCACAGGATCCATTCGGGGCCCAATTCATACATTATTTCCTGACAGGGAGAGAACCTCTTCAGCTGGAACAGACAGAAGCGTTGGCTTCAGGGGTCCCAGGGGATGGCATACTCCATAACTACAGCCCGCACATTGGCGCTCAGAGAGCAGGATTCGACATCGTCTTCTCCAACAAAGTGATGTTCTAGATAGATGCTCAGCATCTTCAGCCTCTTCGTGTGATCCACTCTTGAAGATGCGCACTTCTCTACTCTACTTGTTCTCGATTTCCTCCGAAAGGATTCCCATGATATTATCAGGTTCAGCCTCGAGGCCAATACGTGTTTCAATAAGTGTGTACCGTCTCGAGGGGGCCAGTCGCGTTTCACAGCATAATCCTAAATGACATCCGGATTAAGTCCGATATAGGAACCTACTTCATTGTCACAAACTAAAAAAAACCTGAAATCTATCATCATTCATACTTTGAATTATAGGCTTTGTTTTTTTCTGTATCATGAAAGGGTTTTGACAATCCAAAGGCATAATACATTATTCTATACTTCGGGCATGTTTGGCAATAATTCGACATTAGCCTGGAAGTCACGTTTAACTATATATTTTTTGCAGACAAGAAAGGAGGAAAACACGTAAAATCTGACATTTGGGATAGTAATTAAGATTTAAGCAATCAAAATACATTAAGGCAAATGCCTTTTGTTCAAGGATATAACAGTCTCATCAAACAAACCATTATCTTCTGTTGCCTGTAATAAATAATTCATCAATTGTGGAATACACTTCTAATTTTCAGGGTGTTGTTCATTCCATTCTTCTCTCACTTCCTGAATGTTAATGTTTGGCACCATCAAAACGAGCAATTTCAGCCCTATTTTTCATTCAATAATCTCTTCTTTCTGCATCTCAGTTGTAAGCTTGCTTTTCATCAACACATTTTAACCATTCTCACTTTGGGACAGATAATATTGATTCTTACATACACTCGTCACTAAAAAAAAACCACAACCAAGAAGTTGAGCAGTTTTGATGAAATACGCGGTAAAT